GGGGGGGACACGGAAGGACATGTGGCGAGGGAGGCTGCGGAGAGACAGAGAGGGAGAGAGGTCGCGTGGACCGTTTTGCCGGATGAAGCACTTGCTGTACTTATGACAGGGCAGCCGTAGCTCATGAGGGGGAGGGGGCTCGGTGGGGGGACTTCTGCTGGGAGGCCTCCATGGAAAGATCAACAAACTGGGGCTGCCAACTTTTGCACAAATACTTGCCCAGCTGTAGAGGGGAAGGAAAAAACGACAGCAAACGGGAGAGAGGAGAAGAGGGCAGGGAGGTAGGGAGGGCTCTCGGTGATTGGGAATCGTTATCCAGGGCGACCAACCGCGAAAACGACCGAGGGCCAGGGCGGCCGACATGTTTGTCGAGGTGGCCGGCCTGCGCCCCGCGCACTGCAAGCGCTCAGTGTGTCGCCCGGGGCTCCAGCTGAGGGCACACGGCTCTGCGCGACCCAGAGCCGTGACGGTCACGTCGGTCACCTGCGCTCCATCAGCGCCCCCCAGGCGAGGCCGAGCAGGCCGCCAGCATGCCCGCCCGCGCGACGTACCTGTGAGTATCCCCCCCGCCGTCGTCCTGGCGCCCGCCGCCCGCCGGCTGGGCCAGCCCGCCGCGCGCGGACGAGTGACGGGGTGGCCTATCCTCGAGTCGGCAGGCGCCATGAGGTTCGGCGCCGAGCTGCACCCGCAGTCACGGATTAGGGAATAGGGGGGAGGGGTGGGGGACCAGGCTGGGCTAGGCTAGGCTAGGCACGTCCCCCGCTCGCCCGTGGATCACGGGCACGCCCGCACGCTGCAGGGGGGGCCGGCCGGGCCGGCGACGGCTGGCTGGTCTAGGAGGGACGTGCCTGGCCGCAGAGTGTGGACAGTAGTAATGCGGCGGCTAATCCGGGGCAATTCAAGTCAGATTCCGTCCAATCACGCTCACAAAGCCACACGCACACACACGCACGTACACACACACACGCACACACACACACACACACACACACTCACGTCGTTCACCGGCTTCCTTGCACGTCCTCGCGCTCACACTCGCAGCTCGACAGACTAGCACACACGTCGGGCACATGCGTGTAAATATGTGCGGTCTTATATGCTATACGTTCTCCGTCCGTATTGAATTACGACGCCGACTTTAACCCGATTTCACTCACCCTCTCTTGTCACTGGTTCCATCCCACCGGCCCGTGCATTACTATCATTCAGTATGTTAAGCAGACGCGTGGTGCAGCGCGATCCGCCCGAGAGCAGCGCGGAAAAGAAAGCAGCGTATAAGGGATCCCCTCCACCTCCTCCTTCTCCTCCTCCTCATCTCACTTTTTCCTTCCGGTCTCATCTAAGTGACATAAAACTCCCATAATAAAGTCCCATGGTCTGCTGCCGCTGCCCGCGCGCGCAGCGCAGGCCATACGTCCCGCGTCCCACGGTATACACGTTATGAATTCTTTTGCCCCGGCCTGGCGTGGCGTGGCGTGGCGTGGCCTGGCGTGGAACCGGCACAGTGTGTCAGCGCGTCGCGGCCGCGTGGAGCCGCTCTGCGCGACTTGGCTCCGAGGGGTCCTTCACTATGAATTCTGGCGTACACCGATTTTTCTGTTTTTTCTTGATTTTTTTTTAAAATGAATTCTCATGATTTTTCGTGATTTTTTTGTAAGGGTGTACCCTGATTTTTTTGAGTGAAGGACCCCTCGCTTGGCTCTGCCTGGTGCCCGGGCGTCAAGGTGCAGGATACATGGACGGGGGGAATTGAACAGCCGAACGACTTTATTCAGATACCGACCGCGAATGCCCCGCGCGCGCCGACGGCGGTGGTGCTTTCTCATTCGCTCCGCGGCTGGCCCCTCATCCCGCGTCGGCCTCATCCTCGCCTAGCGGCGGTGTCGCCCGGGGCGCCGCGCAAAGGCGTCACCTTGGGCTTCCGATAACTATAGTACTTAGGCACTTCTTCTTCTTCTTGTCCTCCGAGACTTTCGTTCTTTCTCCGTTCCCCGCGCTAATTAAAGCGAAAGCGCCTCGCGGTGAAGTTTGTTTGCCTTTTTCGAACGCCCAGAGGAGGAGGTCTGGCCTCGCCTCTGACCCTGACGGCGCGCAAAGCTCGAGTAGGCTATTTAAGTCGCAAAGTTTATTTGTTGAAATATTTGCATGGCCGGCGCTCAAAAGTCGCAGAGTAAAAACAATAAAACTTTTACGCAGAACGCGCCGGAACGGGCCTAGTGCAATATGCAAAAGGACATAAAATGGTAGATCTCACCGTCTCTCATCGTGGCTCGCGAGACGAGCAGGAAAAAGTTGGCATCACGCTGATGATGATGATGATGCTGTGGTCCAGGTCAGGTCGCCGTGAGCTATTCGTGTCGGGGAGTAGTGTGCACCGTCACGCACTCTGCCCGCGGGACGGGGCGGGGCGGGTGGTGGAGGTGGCTCACCCAGGCGTGCGCATGGAAACTATGTCATCTAACTCATGGCGCGCTGCAAGGCGCAGACACGATGGATGACGCACCAAGGAGTCGCGAGCGGACACTTCCACTTTTTCATTTCCCAAAAAATTTTCGCGCCTCGATTCGAACCCAGCAGACCGCGAGGGCCCTTCGCACCAGATAGCAATACGACGTGTTCCACTCTCAAAAGTGAAAGGATGAAGTGGTGTATTTTTCTAACCCAAGATTCCCTTCTGCCCTTTGTTTTGGGACCGCGACTGTTTCTCGTTAAAGTATTCCTTTCCGGTTTCCATCATTTCGCAGAACGATGCCTTAAACTACGCGCTGCAGTCGGGCGGCGGCGCGGTGCTGGCTGGTACAGCCGCACCTCCTCCTCCGCTGAGCTGCGGCCAGGCCAGGCCCGCCGGGCCGGGTAGCGACTCGGAACCGTTCCCCGGGACTGGCCGGGATGAAGCTGTCATTGCGGCGGGCTGGCGGCTAATGCATTGTGTCCAGGACGAAGAGAGAGATGGAGAGGGGGGGGGGGAGTGGGGC